GTTTATGCACAGATTTTAGGCTGTATATGTGATTTCATGGCTTTTGGGCATATACCTCAAGCAGAACTGTTGGTCATTTGGTAACTGTACCAATAACATTTTGAGAAGATGCCAACCTATTTCCCAAAACTTTGTTTTACAATCCAACAACAACATCTGTCTATACATTTTATTATAACTCTTCGTGTGTGTGTGTGTGTGTGTGTGTGTATGTGCATGTGTATGCGCATGCACGCATGTGCTCAAGAGACATTCGTTTGGTGAATGGGGTATAGTAACTTGTCGTGGGAGGAATATATGGACCATGCCTGCGACAGAGGGTCATCATTTATGGCCTCGGCCCATTTGCTTGAACTTGATCACAGGCGTCATCAGGGAGGATGGGGAACGTAGTTCACTTTACATCCAGGACTAAAGGAAAAGGCCTGACCAGGCCTGACTCCTCTCTGTCATCCGAAGCTTCGCCTCTGAGCTGTTCTACTTCATTGATTTCTTTTCTTGAAGCCAATACCATTCCAAGTGTGTTCACTCCAGAGTGAAACACCAGATGAGTCTCCCATCTTTCGTAGTCTTACTTGGAAATTTGTCTTGGTTTAACTGGAGAGAGTTCAGCAATTATGAGCACTGGCTGCTCTTGCAGAGGATATGGTTGGGTTCCTAGCATGCACCTGAGGACTCACAGGCATCTGCAAGCTCAGTTCCAGGGGATCCAACGCCCCCTCCTGGCCTCCAAGAGCACTGCATGCGCGTACTTGCAGGCAAAAAGCAGGCAAAAAAAACTAGTTCACAACAAAAGGAAGAATAAACAAGACCTTTAAAAATGTTGTCTTGCCTAGGCTTGGCCCATTATTTTTATCACAGAGATTCTAGTCTCTGCTCAAGAAGCGCTATAAAAAAACAGGTCATGTGTTAGTGAAAAACCACTTAATATTGAAAATATACAGCCAACCAAAGATTGCCATCTGCCGTATACAAAGAACTAGAATAAACTCGGTATAAAGCCCGGTAGATGCCATGGATGGGCATCTTAGGGAAGAGAAGGAAAACTTGAGTATCGGTAACTAGCTGAGAAGAAAGCATCTCAACTCTACAGCCTGGTGGAGACTTCAGATCAAATTTAGTAACCCAGCCAATGGACTGCAGTGTGGAAGAGCTGATGTCACCCGCGTTCGCTTGGCTGTCTGCAGGTGAATCCCTACAAGCAATCTGGAACGCGTGGGTGGAGGCTTAGGGCAGCTGAACACATTTCCTCCTGTCCAATCAGTTTACTAGTAACAAGATGGGTACTGTCTTGTCTTCCTTGGGATTGGCAATCCATTTTGCTATTATTCCTACCATTTTCTGTGTGAAATGGCTCATCATATTTTATTAAAGCAATTGTATTCCATCTTTTCTTTAGCCTTTTATCCTGATGGGATGATTGGATTTTCCCCGCCGTTCCCCCTTTTTCTCTTTCTATGTACTGCAGGCCATCTGATGTTCATCTTCAAAAGGCCCCTTGGATAAATGGATTTATTAAAATGACTGACCGTAGAAATTAAAGCCAGCATGCAAGTTAATAACTAAGACATAAGAGCATCCGGGGTACCAGGCAGGAATGTGCTGTCTTGCACTAACTCCTGCAAGAACTTTTTTTTAACTTTTCATTTTCTTATTTTATGTGTGAGGGTTTGCCTACATGTGTGTGCATATACCATGTATGTACCTAGTACCCAAACAGGCCAGAAGAAGGTGCCTGTTCTCCTGGAACTAGGGTTACAGTCAGTCGAGAGTGATCATATGGGTGCTGGAAACTGGACCCTGGTCCTCTGGCAAGAGCTCTTAACTGCTGAACCATCTTTCCAGACCCCTGCATCAACTTAAAAGTCCCCTTGCATTAGCCTTCAATTCTCATGGCAGTCTATAATGCCAATTTTCTCACCCCCACCCCCATGAATGAAGAGACCGACACAAGGATGTAGCCAGTGTGAGGGACAGTATCTTTGCCTTGGATGGTTCCCATGTCTGCGCCTGGCTGGTGTTCTTGCTCTCCTGTGGTGAGGTGAAGAGGTGGATACATTGCCTGCCTCGTTCAGGCCAGAGCAGTGGAGGTTCACAGGAACGAGGTGGCTAAGTGGGATCTGTCACTGCTAGTCACCTAGATAATGTACCATGTTGCTAGTCTTTTTTTTAAAAAAAAAAAAAAAAAAACTCTTCCCAAGCAAGAGCTTGATTCTGTCCCCATGGGGTCAAGTACGTGGACATCCCTAGATGTCAGGGGCCATTTCCAGATTCAGGATGCTTTTGTCCTCCTGAACAGACATCTTTGATGACTGGCCAACGGGAGCCAGTTTTCAGAGTGGGCCTGTTTGTTACCAGCCGTATTATACCAGTGGTGGGTGGAATTACGTTTTTTATACTTTTCTTCTTTTCAAGGTGGTAGAGGTCTGGCCTCAGAGGGAAGTGCATAGCTTCCTGATGCAGGGAGCAAGTCCTTGCCACCCTGGAAGACAGCCAAGTCTCTAAATTGACATGTTCACTGGATAAATTGCATGTAACAACGTGACGCCAGATGGGAGACGATTTGATAACAGGGTTTTTGAACTCTGCGAATGTTACCAAAAGAAAAACAGTCTGGTCTTAAGACATGTTTGATAAATTGTTAAATAAAAGACAGTGTGAGGACTTGAGCACTCTATTTCGTTTCCACCGCGTGTTTCGTTGAATAGATTATGGTGGCGGCAGCGGGGTGCACGTCAGCTGATTCCCCGTGAATTACCTCCAGCAACTGAGCCCCACTTACCTCTGAAACACCCCCACAAGCGCTTAGAACGTCTCTGAATTCAGGCGCTGACTGATTGCGCGATCGCTGTTTAATTCTGGGCCCACTCAGTCTTTTACTCCTGGGATGCATGTCCCCGCCCACCCCTGACCCCGCGCTGGGTTTTCACAGGCTCCTAGCAGGCTTCTTTATCTGATACCGGCTCCGCAGACCCTGTTCTGTGGACTTTTGGTGCTTCTTGTGGGCTTGTGGAGGTCCCGCACATTCTCTTAGCCGAGTTTAGAACTGTTTAGATGCTTCTACAGTGACCGAAGGGAACTGTGTCATGCCAGCTGCTCCAAGCAGTAGCCAGTTCTTATTTGTTCTTAAAGCGGCTTTTCTCCCAGAACAACGCTGGTCTCACCAATTTTAAGAAGACCCTCAGGTCTTTCTGGGGAGAAAAGCAGTGATCTCAGACTCCAAATAATGGAATGAAATCTCCAAATATCATGAATGTTGAGGCCATTTTAACAATGCCATCATTTTTTTTTTATTTATTAAAGATTTCTGTCTCCTCCCCGCCACCACCTCCCATTTCCCTCCCCCTCCCCTAATCAACTTCCCCTCTCTTGTCAGCTCGAAGAGCAGTCAGGGTTCCCTGCCCTGTGGGGAGTCCAAGGACCTCCCACTTCCTTCCAGGTCTAGTAAGGTGAGCATCCAAACTGCCTAGGCTCCCACAAAGCCAGTACATGCAGTAGGATCAAAACCCAGTGCCATTGTTCTTGATTTCTCAGCAGTCCTCATTGTCCGCTATGTTCAGCGAGTCCGGTTTTATCCCATGCTTTTTCAGACCCAGTCCTGCTGGCCTTGGTGAGTTCCCAATAGAACATCCCCATTGTCTCAGTGTGTGGGTGCACCCCTCGAGGTCCTGAGTTCCTTGCTCGTGCTCGCTCTCCTTCTGCTCCTGATTTCAATGCCTTCATTTTTATGCAGGCCAATATAAGTGAAATATGGTGACCCTCCTTTCAAAGAGATGAAAAGACATTTAGTCTCTCTCCAGTGCCTTGTCTATCTTCCAGTTATCATCACCTGCTTTTCACAAATGGGCAGGTTTGTTCCCAATGAGCCCTGATCAGCCTCTCGCAGTTAGCAGAAGAGATCCCAGACCTCCTTCTACCAGAGGGGCGTTTGGAAGCCTTTTCTCTTAAGGCCACTATCATTGTCTTTAAGGGTCACATACAAAGTTTCAGAAGATGCAGAAGAATAGTTCAGGCCACACTGTTTCTACTGGACTCAGACCCAAGCTGTTCTTCCTGGGTCCTGGATCCTTAGAGTATCAGAGCAGTTGTTTGTGACAAACGGTCCTCCAGACAGAGACTGCTTCTCTCTGGGTAGCAAACTGCAGCTACCCATCCATTCCTTCTGCCTTCTGAATAAGTAAAGCTGGGGCAGGGCAGATGGCTCAGTGTTTAAGAGCCCTGGCTGCTCTTCTGGAGGACCTGGGTTCGATTCCCAGCACCCACAGGGTAACTCACACAACTATACCATTCCAGTCTCAGGGGATCTGATGCCCTTTTCTGGTCTCTATGGGTACCACACACATGTGTCTTGCATAGGTACAAGTGAGCAAAACACCCCTAAAATAAAATTTTAAAGTTTTCAGTAAAAATAAGTAAATAAAGCAGCAATGCAACCCCATGCATCTGGAAGGTTTCCCCATCTCTGACCCTACTCCCACTCCACCCTATACCTCCACCCTATACCCCCACCCCCACCCTCTGCCCTCACCCCTACCCTATATCCCCACCCCACCTCTACCCTAAATCCCCACCCCCACCCTATATCCTCATATCCACCCTACACCCCTACCTCCGCCCCCACCCCAGGCCTCCTCTTCTGGATTCCCCAGATTCTGGAAACAAATGTCCTTGGCCAGGGAGACATATATGTAACCCCCATCACTGGATATCTGTAGGTTCTGCATCTGTGAATTAACATATATGTAACCCCCATCACTGGATACCTGTAGGTTCTACATCTGTGAATTAGCCAATTGCAGAGGGTCAGAATCACAGATACTACGTCCTGACTAAAGAGAGCTCTTTCCCACAGCCACTTCCATTGCTTTTCAAGGCCACTCACTGAAAGGTGTGTTCCTGAGCAGATGGCGGCCTTAGGATTGGCTGGCCAAGCTTGAATGGCAGGTGGGTCCATCCACCTTTCATGAAGTTGTAATGAACCTGCTCTCTGCCTCCCACAGGCTCCACCTTTGGGACTGAAGAGCAGCCACCTCTGAAGCCAACTCTGCCTTCTAAGGACACACCCAAGGGAGCCAGCCGGGCAGCCCCTGCATCTACCTCCAATGCAACAACACCACGCAGAAGTTTACTTCCGGCACCAAAATCCACCTCCACGCCTGCTGGTAAGACCTTCTGCCTTTCAGGAGCTCCACAGTGGAGTCTTTGAAAGTCCCTATGTCCAACCGCTGCTTAGAAGAGATGACGGAAGAGTCTTAAGAGGCATTTAAACTTAATAAATACTACAACATATTCTTGTGCCTCCTCTGTATCTCCTCTGCCTGTCTGCTAACCCTCTCAATGACACCATTTTGGTTTGAGGAAGCAAGAGCCAAGCTGTTTTTAAGAAGACAGGCCCTTGGCTAGGGGCAAACCTTGGCTCTTGAAACCATTTGAAAGGCTTTAGGGCAAGCTCAGCCAGGGCCTCAGAACGCAAAGGGAACTGCTGCCCTCTGCTGGCTGTGAACTTAAACCGGCAAAACTGGACAGACCCCAGCAGATTGGATAGTTTGTGTCCCAGCAATGGCTCCAGAGCCATGGTTGTGTCTGTGACTAGCTCCATTTAAGTAGTGCAGACAACCTGCCTCTCCATGCCCCACGCGTGTGCAGGGATTCCAGAGAAGGCCACTGTGGCCAGACACTGCCCAGGTGGCCCATGTTTGGCTCCGTCTTGTTTTCCTCCTCCATATCTCACACAAGGAACCTGTCCCCCTTAGCGGTGCCTGTGGGTATGGTTCCTAGTTCTCCACTGTAAAGTTCGGCATTGTGAAGACAGATGGGAGGCTGAGCCCGGATCCACTGTAGAGGGCACGTTCAGATCGGTGGTTTTTTCCTCCCTATTTTCCTCCTGTGATTATAGCCAGCTGTCTACCACTGTGCATGCATAAGAACTGGATGGCATTGCGAGCTGCCAGGTGTGGTTAGGTTTTGTTGTTGTTGTTCTTCTTCTGTCCACTTGGCTCAAGCTAGAGTCATCTGGGAAGGAGAATGTCAGCTGAGAAAATGCCCTCACCAGAGTGCCTATAGGCAAGCCTTGGGGCATGTTCGTGGTTAAAGATTGATGTGAGAGGGTCCGGCCCACCTTGGACGTGGCGCAGTCCTTGGCTTACGCTCCCAGACTGTGTAACAAAGCCGGCTTATCAAGCCCTGGGGAGCAAGCTAGGAAGCAGCATTCTTCTGTGGCCTCTGCGTCAGTGGCCGCCGACTTCTCTTCGTGATGAACTGTGGGCTGAAAGATGTAACAAGCCCTTGTGCAGCTGTGGTTGTTGTTTTATCTTTGCTCTTTGGGGGGCCTGCCACCCAGCTCCCAAATAATCACATGGAGACTTATTCCTTACTATAATTGCCTGGTCTTAGCTTGGCTTATTTCTAGCCAGATTTTCTTAAATTATCCCAAATACCTTTTGCCTCTGAATTTTTACCTTTCTCTATTTCTGTATTTCTCTTCTTCCCTGCTTATTCCATGTCTTTGGCAGTGTGGCTGGCCCCCAGCACCCTCTTCTCCTTTCCTCACTCCTCTCTCTTCTCTTTTTCCTTTCTATTTATTCACTCTACCCAGCAGCCCCACCTGTCTGTCCCTCTCCTGCCTAGCTATTGGATGTTCAGTTCTCTATTAGACCAATCAGGTGTTTTAGACAGACAGAGAAGCACAGCTTCAAAAATCCCCAAGTGTGACAGATGTTATATATACCCATGACAGCCTTCCTGGGGCATTCCTGTCAGGAATAAAAAATATTCCACTGCCCTAAAGAGGACTTAGTCGGCAGGCTGCAGAATCACAAACGCATGTGTTGTTCGAGGTGGGCTCTAGGAATCTTCCCCCAAAACAGATGAACAAAAGTCCAGTGCATCGGTGTCTAGAGTTGAAGAGAACTGAAAGCCCCTCACCTGGCTGTTCCTAGGGACTGGACAGAAGCACTTCCGGGATGCAAGGCAGTATGGCTGCCCTTAGATGGGGAACGGTTTTCTCTAAATAGGGACATGTGATACCATTTATGTGCTTATACTAAGAAAAGAAATAGAAAAAATAAACTATGAATTTTAAAAAGATTATGCATAGGGGAAAAAGAGAGATTTAGGAGGAAGACTAGAGATTGGAGTCAATGACAGGATTTGGACACTTGTTTTTTTGGCCTGACTTAAAAATCGTCTCAATATTGAGTGCAATTGAATACTGACGCTAAGTTCTAGAAGAGCAGATCTGAGCTGTCCTGCAGAAGCTGGGCAGGATGCTATACAGATGTTATCCCATCAGTCAAGAGGCAGATGGAGCTCTGTGGATCTGAAGCCAGCGTGGTCTACATAGCAAGTTCCAGTCCAGCCAGGGCAAAATAGCAGGGCCCTATCTCAATTAACAGATGAATAACTGAGTACATGAGTTAATAAATGAATAGTGAAGCCTGTTGCGGCAGAAGCATGGAAATTAGGTGACTTAATTTAGCCCAGTGATATGGCATAGCTCCCTGCTGGGATATTCCCTAGACTCAGGAAGACTCCAACAGGGATGCCGGAGAGGGTTGTCAGTAACCTATCCTGTTGGTGGTGCTACCGCCTCGTGACACTGCGTGTTCTGATAGTCTAAGTTTGTGAGACACGCGACAAGATGACATAAGGGCATTTCACTTGTATTTTACTAGATAAAACTTGCCTGAGGATCAGAAAAGTAAAACAGCCCCCACTGGCCAGTCTTATAGACCAGGCAACAGTAACACACACCTTTAATCCCAGTAGCCACACTAGCTGCCATAGAAACCAGGCAGTAGCAGGTCATGCTTTTAATCTCAGAACTAGAGAAGATTATAAAAAGGGAGGAGACAGCTCTCAGGCTCAGTCTCATTCTGAGATTCCTAGAGGCAGGATCGCCATTTTGGACTGAGGCCTAGGTAAGAGCCAGTGGCTGGCTGCTTTGCTTTTCAGATCATCAGGTTGAACCCCAATTTCTCTCTCTGAGTTTTTATTAATCATACTTCATATGGGTGACACGTGAACTCATCCACAGTTGATCTTTAAGAAGAGATCTCAGCTCTGTCCACTGAAAAGTTGTAAGTAATTAAAGCAAGAGTAATGAGCTAAAGTTGTATCAAAATGTATTTACCATTTAAAGTAGGCAGGGGTGAGCTAGGCAGCTCAATTGGTAAGTTACTTGCCATGCATGCATAAGAACCTGAGTTTGATCCCTGGAGTCCATGTAAAACATCTGGGCATGGTGGTACATGCTCACAATTCCAGGACCAAGGGGGAGATGAGTAGATCGCAGGGGCTTTGGTGGCCAGCCAACCCGATGTGTGAGTTCCAGGCCAAGGTGAGACACTGCTATCTCAAAAGAGAAGGCGAATTGTATCCTAAAGAAAGATACCTGGAGTTGACCTCTGGTCTCCATATGCACGTGTGCATGTGCATGTGCGCGCGCGCGCGCGCACACACACACACACACACACACACACACACACACTGAATAAGTATATGGTTCCATGCTTAAAATGGGGAATTTTAGACCCCAGGAAAATGCAGTAGGATAAGCTCATGGGTAAACACATTGACTGGCAGAGTGCTTTAGTGGAGGCAAAGTTAAATGAAAGTGGGATATTTTAAGTGTTGAAAATAAAGAGAAAACGGGTTTTAAAAACCATTTTGTTACTTCTGCTACTTAGGTTGTCTGACGTACCGTTTCTTCCACATTTTATTTAGAAATACTTCCTTCTCTGAGCCAACATGTCTTTCCTTCAGGTCATCACGTAGTGTGGCCTCCTCAGGGACTTTGCTGTTGATAGCTCTTCTCGCCCAGGTTATTATCTAAGGATTCCTGTGTCTGCCATCTCTCTGACCCTGATTTCGCTAGCTGGCCTGGGGCTGGCTATGTGAATCAGGCTAGACTTGAACACTCCGATTTGGCCTTTCAAGTGCTGGAGCTAAAGGTAGGCACACACGCCTTTTTTCCTTTATCCCAAATCCTTTGCCACCAACAGGGAACCCAAAATATCCCCAGGCTACTAGCAGATACCCATTGAAAGAGGGAGAGGCCCCACTCCCTGCTGGTTCTCTCCACTGATGACTCTGGGGCAAGGAGACAATGAGAACTAGAAATTACTTGAGACTTTCTGTGGGTGTTCAGCGAGGTGTACCAGCTCCCAAGAGTAAGCTAGAGGCATCTCCCGCCCTTTCCGCTGGTCCACAGTCAACAGGAGCCTTGCTGCTCCAGCGCTTTAGTGCCGAAGCATGAGGAAGTGTGCTTCTTATGAACCCACAGAAACAAAGCCCAACCAGAGGCCCACGTGGCAGACATAGCGGACAGGCGCCTCCAGCTCTCCCTCTGCAGTGTCTTCTCCACGGCTGGCAACTATTTCAGTCTTGCTCTGTGAGTTCTGTGTCCTCCTCCAGGGTCTGCAGCAAATCACAGCCCCAGCTGTAAAACACTTAGCGAATTCCGAGTGCAATTTGTTGTTGTACTGGGAGCGACGGGCTCTGTTCCTGCCGCCCAGCTCCCACATGGCTAGCTTAGCCCCGGAAATAACAACACACAAATTGTATTCTTTTAAATACTGCCTGGCCCATTATCTATAGCCTCTTATTGGCTAATTCTCACATCTTGCTTAACCCATATTTAGTAATCTGTGTTATTAAGACACGAGGTGGTGTCTTACCAGGAAGGATTCTAGCCTACATCCATCTGGGGTCGGAGAATCATGGCGACTGCCTGACTCGGCTTTCTTTCTCCTAGAATTCTGTTCTGTCTACTCCACCCACCTAATGGCTGGCCTATCAAAGGCCAAGCAGTTTTTTTATTGATTAACCAATGAAAGCAACAGATAGATAGATGACACTCCCACATCAATTTGTTAAGTATTGACCATATCTACTCAGAACTATCCTTGAATGGAGCTGGGAAGCTCTGCATTTGATTTTCAAGAGATAGATGATAGATAGATAGATAGATAGATAGAGTTTTTTTTTTTTAGAGATTTTTGTTTTAATATAGGGTGTTTTGCCAGCATATATATCTGTGTTCTTGCAAGACCCACAGGGGCCAAAAGCAAGTACTGGGTCCTCTGGAACTATATGTAGTTACAGGTGATTCTGAGCTGCCATGTGGATGATGGGAACTGAGCCTGGATTCTCTGTAAGAGCA